CAAAATAGCAGCAGAATTCCTCCGATTCCTGCCGAACTCAACTAAGCAGGCTTTTCAGCCCCTGAAGATTCAGAGCCTAAGGGCGCTACTGTTACTATTCTCCCAGGCACTCCTTAAGCTTATAAAATGAATTACTTTTATCATACCGTCTTCAGGTGTTAATTTCAGGCATTTCATCCAAAAATCTTAAATTTAATTCTACCAACAGGTAGCCAAAAACTGTCGAGACAGAATGGGATGCTTGTTAAGCAAGAAATTGCTTGCTTTCTGATCAGGCGATTAATCACATGTGTAAATCTGTCTGGGATATTCTAATCATGCCAGCGAGAGGCCAGCTTTCCAACGAGAGATGAATGCTTTACCTTAAGATTGTTTTACTCTAAACTTGACGTAAACTTCATGTCAAGTGAAAACTTCACTTCTCTGGTGAAAGTGACAAATTCGGAGGTGAGAGCACCTACTTGTACAAAAATGGGTCTTCAAGTAAAACAATTCTATTTTTAAATGGGCTGAGACGAATTCTATCGTTAATATCAAGGACAAATACACTTTTTGGAACTCAAAGAAATCTTTTGTAAAGTAAAAAAACCGAGAGATGTACCAATTTACGGAGGTGTTAATGATGCTGACGGCCTCAAAATGCCAATTTCCTATCCACTTGTGGGAAAAAGAAGCCATAAATTAGTTAATTTATAATAAAAGGAAGCCAACCGCATTGTGAGCAGGTAGTCATAGAAATTTTGACACTATAAAGGACAATTAACTGCATTAAGTTAATTTATTTGAATCAATCAAAGCAAATGGCTAAACAATGACGGTAATTCACACGCTACCGTTAAATTTAAGTTCATTATAAGCCCACGTAAAAAGGGAGGATGATACTCAAATCTAAAACCACACCGAAGTCATTGTTTCAACCACACTACTCACGAAAACTTAACCAAAAAGGTTAATTCACGAAGCGGTCACTGGAAGGATAATGATTTTAATTGGACTACCGATGGAATCATTACAATTGCAGCCACTTTTAGGCCTTAGCCATCAAATGGGGCTTAAAATGGCCTTCCAAACCGGAACTCCCCCACCCCCTTAAACATCCACCGAGAGGTTGCATTGTGCTCACCCATTCGATAGCCCGCCCCCCGTGCCGGTTAAACAAGCCCCCCCCAGGCCGGTGTTTTGAGCCTACTAAACGTGTAGTAGGGCGGTGGGGTACGTACTCGGAAAAACGACAAAGCTAGTTTTGAATGTATTGAAAATGACGACCAGCCATCGTGCTTAATAAACCCGAATTTCAGACCTGTTAGATATTGAATGCATAACAACTCGAAAACGAACGGGCAGAATATCGTGACTGGAGTGACCAAGCACGCACAAGGAGGTTGGAGTGGCCAAAAGTGGGACAAACAGGTGTCCAGGCGGTCCATGAAATGCCACAAAAGCCAGCTAGCTACCTACTGTCTTTCCTGTCCACAAGCCAGCACAGTGACAGTGACTTCGCACACCACCACCACCATCGCCGAGACGATGATGATGAATCAGAGGTGTTGGTTCAGGGGAGAATAAGAAATATCTTCTTCTGCTTTTTGCTTCAACCAAACTCGTCACCGTCCACATAAAGGGTGCAAATGTGTGTGAATTTTTCGGTTCGAGCAGTTGGCTGTCAATAAGACGGAGAACCGTGTTCTGATTGACATCCATTCACTTGAGTGACGAATGAATCTCCTTTTAATGTGATCAACCTGCAATAGAACCTAGCTGAATGGATTTTAAGTGACAAACAGAGTAAACAATGTTTTCTCGTTGCTGGCAAAGGCACAACTTGTGCATGTATGTCCGCTCGTTCATTCGAGCTAGTGAAATTAATCTTCGCTTTTGGTGTGAACACTTGCAGGCGTTTGGTTTTGCAACAAAATTACGACCGCAACCATTTACGAAGTCTGATTCTCACGTAATATGTTTCGGTGAGCAAAACAGAAAGCTGCCTTTCAATGGCAATAAAAGGAAGGGTGGGACAGCAGGCCTTATAATTGAGAGAGTCCCTGAAATTCATTTGATCCCCAGATGACCATGTATATCTTTGCCAAACACATATGGGCATAGTTTCTTCCTCCCTCTTTCTCCTTGGAAATTACAGGTTTCAAGGAATCCCAATTCGCCGAAGTTGCAAAAGTATGTCTTTCATACACCGATTGCAGTTTTTCCCAATCTCCTTTTTGAACACCCCGCTTTGACAAGACGATTCGTAATAGAAGAGGATTCCAGCTCTCATCATAGTCTAAACAAACTCGAAACAATGGGCGGAACCAAAGGGACACCGAATAGGTTAACTACCCAAAAACTCGTCCCTCTAATAGGTCCGGTCTACGGGAATAAATTTTATGATGTTTACACCAGAGGGTAGTATAAATTGACGCACTGCCGAAAACGGTGTGGAGTTTCATACACAGACGCCATCCATAAATTACCTAAGCAACTAGGGGTTTCGGGAATATGGATGTCTAGACATTCGCACCTGTAAATCATTTCACACAGAGGCAAAGTACAAAGGAATGTTTGCAAAAATATATGCACCAAGGAGTTTCAACTCACCGATTCCTGAACCGAAGTTAATTGTGTGCTGATAAGTATCCACTGTGCACCAGTAGTGTATACGTCTACTCAGTGCTAGGCTCCATAGATGCTGGCAGGGCTTGTCTTCGAAGAGATTTAGGCTCAACGAAGGCGAGACGATTCTTATGTTGTGAAGAGGAAAAGTTCCAGCATGACCACGGTTGGCATGCCCAATGTTCTAGACCGTGATTGGCCGTCTTAGGGCTACCTACTAGTCATTGGTCGAGGCAAAGTGATTCATTGGCTGACTAAAGTGATTGGTTCAGCATTCTAATTGGTTAGATGATTGCTCAGTAATTGTTGCCACTAATTTATAACTGGTTTAATTTACGCGTTTTTCGGGAAAGAAGCTAGAATCTGGTTATGAAGTAAATGGAGTCAGTGAGAAAATAACCAGTTATCAGAATTACATGATTAGTGGCCTTCTTAAATTCCGACCTTACTCGCTTCCCCGAGTAGTATAGCGCATCTATAAAAGCGCTCGTTTGACTATCCGATGGGGGAATAATATTTCTGATAGGTACCTATTTTTTCCTCACCAATAACTGCCACATCGTAGAGGCACTATTAACTCAAATGATTTTGGAAACCAAAACTCTTCGAATGCGACCTTCTGGGTCAATTCATCGGGATTAACTACCATCCTTTTCTCGCCTTATATTTGGCTCCTATGCAGATAGTTCAAAATCAGAATTAAAATCTAGCAAACAATCCATTGTTCTCACAACCGTTGGGTTACCAGTGATATTTGTAAAGCTGAATTGGTCATTCAACCTCAAGGTCCAAATTCGAAAGATAAGGTCACAAAATAAGTTTTGGGATATTGCATAGCAAAATATGGGTAGTTGCAAAAAGCTCCTTCAAAAATCCTACAGAGAAGTTTCATAGTTAGTCTTTCCAACGATAAATAGGCATGTGAAAGCTAATTTTACATAATTTTTGCCTCTGAAAACCATAAATAAACCTATGCCCGTTCACTACCGCATAAATCTCAGTTTTATTTCCAAACCACTCACTCTATTTCAATGCATTCTGATTGGCGTTTGATTGTGGGCTTGTCTAATGTGGAGAAAGGGTGATAATCATCATTTGGCGAAATATCGCAGGGCGGGTGTGGGGAATGGATATGAAGGGGTGGGCTGAGGTTGGGGCTACATCTCTCTCCCATCCTAAAGGTGCGGAGATCTTGTTCTATCTTGTAAAATATAGGAATAGGTGTTTACGCCTTACTGAGTCACAGGTTCTCACCACCCTCAAAGAATACACTTTCCTTAAGCACGTTTGAATTGTTTTGGTGACATCTTACCTGAAATTGCTGTTATACCTCCATCAAGTGATTAATTGCGTCCGCAGCTTACTCCAAACAAAGCAAATTCAGTCCTTTGAGGATGAATGAGCTGCTTAGAACTCTGTCCCAATTCCAATTCCACTGTTTCACTCTCCTATCATTTGCGTGCTACTTATCTACCTATCTTTTTAAAATGGAGGGACGTCAGAACTTCAAGCTTAACTCAGTTCATTGTTTGAACGTCGATCATTTGTTCAAAATAACAATTTAAACTCTTAGTGACAATCATGTTCAGCAACCGACGCTACTCAGATGGCCCTTATGCCGTAAAATCTCCTGCAATATAAGTATTTATAAAGCGGCGTTTTCTCATGGGAGTCAGTCAGTTCATTTGGAAACTTCTTATAACTCCCATACTTCAGACATATTCTTTTACTTAAGTTATTACAGAAAATGCTTTGTGATATAACATAACCGAGCAGCTTAAAAAGCATAGGAGGCCTAGAGGCTAAGTTTTGCAACACCTTCGAGAAGAAAGAAAAGGCCGATGTTATTTCGGTAATGGCCAGAACATTGTAACTCATGGATCATGCAACCTCCATTGACATGTAGATGGAGAAAGCTTCATCCCTTGATTTATTTAACTAGACAGGCACACATTTTAAAAGCGGATTTGGTGACAGCTGATGGAATGCAAATGGCTTAATCTCACGGTGTCGCATTCCACCACACGCGTAGTGGAGCGACCTCAACCTCCATAAAATGCAGAGCTCCCCTAATCAATATTCTGTGTTAGGGAAGGGGTAGGAACTGGAACTATCCATTGACCCACGTCTGCATCTCCTCCCTTACAACCCTCACCTGAGGAAAGGGAACATTTGTTCGCTGTGACCCACCCACACACGTGTCAGGAGCTAATTGGTAAACACAAAGCGTGTTGGCAATTAATGGAGGACAATCCTAGAGACTTTGAATGGGAAAAGTTGAAAAATGTACGAATGCACACAACAATGCCAAATTCGCCCTGGCAATTCCAATCAACAAATTATGAGTAGATAGGATTGGTGGTAAGGCGCGAGGACGATGAAGTGCGAAGGATACTTCGGGTTCGAAGAATAGACAAAAGTAGCTGGTATTCTTTCCAAACTCACTTTTTAAGGCTCACATAAAGGTATTTGGAAATTAAGATCCGGTAATGTGTATGGAGAACAAAGAGGGGGATAGTTTTATTCGAGAGAGTATACCAAAACAATGAGTGGATAAATCTGACTAATGTTGATTATTTTAAGCACTCATGATCATTGTGAAGTGAAGGGGAAAAAGTGTTGCGAATGAATTATAATACTCTCACACTGGACTACTTTCGACCAAGAGAAATGGCAAAAATTATGGGTTCAAAAATTACGCCTTTTTATACGCTTTCCTGATATTTTTCAGACCCATTCGGAGTTATTCTCTCCTATACAATGGATTATCTGATGGTGAGTAGGCGGTGTGAGGGCTAAAGCCTGTCAGGAATGAGTGAAAATGCCTCTGGGAAATTTTGGCTAAAAGAACAGCCAGACCCATGAATACGCAAACAAATTTCCATTTATAAGTATGGCTACACGACAACTTTAAAGCAGGTAAAATAGGTAGTATGGCCGGTAAGGTGAGGGAGAGACGCAGCAAAGTGTGATTTGAAGGGGACATTACTGCTTTGGAGAATGGAGGAAAACATTTCAAAAAACGGAATGCAATAGTGGATATGTGGTTTGTTTTTTTCATAAGGCCGATAACTTTAACATTGAAAGTGCAAAATACAAAATTACTGAGTACCAACACCCATTTGCTTCCAGGATAAACATTTAGCTAACCGAAACTGGACTGATATCAACGGAAATAATATTTACTGGGATTCTGAGGAGGGACATCTGAAGCTCCTGCACGTATAGCATTTTGTCTTCTTAAAAAGCGGAATTTTCTGCTGACTAGAATACTTTGAAGGAGGCGAAATTGAGTTCATAGAGTAGGGTGGAATCTGTCATTTTTTGGATACTTCTTGGGACCTTCTAACTAAGCCAAATAAAACGCATTTTACAACTGAACACCGAGATAAATAAATTCCAGAGTTACAAAAAAAATGTTACCAGCTCATTCGCATTGCAGAAGAATTTGGCAAAAGGTATGACAATTTTAATTAGGCTCCCGTTTCCATTAGTTTCGACATTATTTAAACCTTACTTCGGAATAGTTTTCCTCTTCCACGAATTTGCTGAGCATTTCATATTAAAGATTTGAAGATTACAAAAGTTGGAACTCTTTGAAGTGCTTCATACATTTTGCCTGCTCAATGAGCGCTACATGTCTGACAATTCAACACGCAACGGTCGATTTGGAGAGGGACTAATTCCACCGCGTCTTAATTTCTTCCGTGTTAGGGGTGAGTGAATTGGTGCAGTCGGCGATCTTGTCCTTTTGTTAAAAGCCTCAACAGTGTCAAAATACCGAAAAAATGGGCAAGTGTCTTGATAGTGGATGTCTGGACAATATAGTGCATAAAGAAGAGGGTAAGGAAGAGTTTTATTCTAAAGGTACGTCTTTAAAATGGCTCCCTTGTTACTTCCCATGAGCCTTTCGTGGTTAGGAACTCTCCGTACGACGTTAGGCTGTCTTAAAGGAAGTGAGGTAAGGGAGACAAACAAAATAATCTACCTTATCAAATCACTTTAATTGAGACCTAATTATGGAGTTTTAGCGAATCTTAGAATAGGATATGAGATGCTCTGAATGCGTACAAGTATACATGTAGGCAAATTTGGCATAATATAGTGCCTCAGTACCTCCCATTATCCTTAAAGGAGTCTTTGAGGTGGGTCTTTTTTAAAAATCCCTTTCCAAATGTCAAAAATACTTGCTTGTCAATTATCAAGAATCATTGAATGAGGCGATAAGATTCGGATCGTGAATGGCCTTGGGGTCGTATATTTTACGATCTAGAAGTAATGAAGAAGAATTAATTACGGTGGATTGACAACCGAAGAAGTGAGATTCATTGAAAGCGTCCTTCAAAGGTAGCCACCAACTTGAAATAGCTTGGCATCCTATTTACTTTAGTTATCGTGGGAAAAATTTTACGCTGGTATTATGACCTAGCACAGAGCTCTTAAAAGTAACTTTTTGTGTACTTCTGCTTAATTTTTTACTTATTATTTAGTCAACTCGCAATTATTATCAGGATTACCTATTAATTCAAAGCCTAAATAGCGAAAAGTGTTTACAAATAGACGAGTATCATTACAGAAATACATTTATGACCGTGCTCCCTCTCACACCTGTCCCATGGTCCGCCTGACCTGAGCTACTTTAAATTACCATGTTCATGGTGTTGCTGCGATAAGGGTTATTAACACGCCTGCCCATGATACCACGGATCCGTTGACGTCAATGGGCACAGGTAAGGGTCACCTGGTCAAGTCATGCAGCCTTAATTTTAACAGAGGCACCTATGCCTTCTAATTGAACACCTTTTTTGTAAAAATGCGCATCAAATTGTAGAACAATGCGCTCACGATTAGCTAGAGATTTTGTTGTCAATAGCCCAGGTGAAAAGTGAGGCGGGATGACAACTCATCACTTCTGCCACATCCATTCGCTTTTTAGCAGGCAGTACATTTGAGATTATCTACATTTTTGTGTTTTCCAAATAGAAATACGTTTAGTCTAGTAAATAGCCCTTTCGTAGTCGATTCCCATCACGTTACTTTCAATGGACAGAATTTCAGGTAATTATAATTTCAAAAGTGGCTAAAATACATCCTACGTCCTTAAATACATATATTTATTGCCCACCCGAATTAACCATGGAGATTGCGAATCAGACATGTAAATTTAACATGCCTGAGCAGTCACGTGGTAGTTAAATTACTATTCAAAAAAAATACCAGAACGGTATCATATGAATGCCTTTTCATTGAATGGGTGGTTAGAACTACATCCCTTAATTTCTTTTTTAGGTGACCACAGACAATTTCCCACGAACACAGCTCAGAGCGTACTGATATCCCGGAAATGGACTTTGTTTTCTCGTAATCTAGTAGTGAGGGCCTGGAGGACACGCAGCTCGCCGGCCGGGCGCTGAGGTACCTCTTTTTCCGTGTGAGTCACCTCCTCGATGAAAGTGCCCACGGTCAATGGGAACGTGAACATCAAATTCCCAGGGTTGAAGCCTATTAAATTTCGTCCATTTGTCAAGTTTTAAGGCCACTATTTTAAATTTGCATAACTGTGGTTTCTGGTTTTAACCAAGGGGGTTTATTGAGAGGTTTCTAAAATTTAGCGCAATCTAGCATGAGCCGCTATCATCCTGACATGTCACCTAAGCTGTTTGCAGTTGTTTTCGTACGTCAAATTCTTTTCCGAAAAAAAGTCGTGAACATCAGTTTAAAAGGCCCATGCACTCTGCGTTTGGTACGACTAGTTGATAAAGACACAAAACAAAGTAGGCTGATATAGTTTGAACTGAAAGTTCTGTTTAGAAGGACGGCCTTAACCTAAGAATAACAGAAACGAACTGCGGCGAAGAAAAAAGATCGCTTTAAACAGCCACTGAGAAATCTTTCACTTATTGGTGCCTTCATATATTCATTCATTGGTGGCTTGATTTTCATTGTTCTGCGAAAGATAGCTCGAGGCGCTGGAGTACCTTAACTTTCTCTACGAATTTTATCACATACCTGTTTGAAACAATCGCATGTTGTTGGACATCGTTTGCAATCGGACCCTTTTTAGTCCGTTAATCATTGATAAATTAAACGAATGCGGCATGAACCGGCACAGAGTAGTAGGTCGTTGCTACGCGACCGATTTTATCTGCAGAAGCAGTTATTGTTACAACTTTAAGGTAAGAGTAGAACATCAAAAGGACAACTTATTAATGAGGCACAGGCAACTATGCCAAGCCTCGATACACTTCAAAAGCTGATTTTGATACATTTATCCACGTTAACTCGTAAAGAGATTAGTCGTGGAAAGAAGGATGGACCTCAAGCGCAGTTTCATTCGAATTCGGAAAGGGGAAGCCATTCTCTTGTTAGCAAATAATGCTTGCCATAAAATCTCGCAAATCATGAAAACGGTTAATGGATTTGCGCAGACTCAGATGCTGCTTTTATGGCCAAGAAATGTGAAAATAATTAGGAAAAATACATTTTATTTCTAAGTCAAGACAAATATTTAAGTCAATGCAAGTTTTCATAGCTCCTGTACTATCGTCATGCCCTTTAGCCATTTATCCGTTTAGGCTTTATAAAAATGCTCAAACCAAGCCCCATTTTTAGCTAAGAAAGAGGAAGCAATTACAGGAGAGGCTTAAAGAAGTTTGATTAAATGCAACAATACCGGATTGTGAATTGAACTAGTCCATTCTTTAAATAAACTGCTATTTTGTAATTTTTGGAGCAATGTAAATGAATTTTTTAATTAACCTGGATGTCTTCTAATCTTGGAAAGCAAACAGAGTTGCATTCACAAGCTGAACTGCTATATTCCTTGATTTCTTGACATTTTACTTAAAATTTACAATATGGGAAAAATCGACGTGTCAAATCGCATTCGTAAAGATTTAAGTAGGTGATACAAAAAATTTTTGTGGTTTTTACAGTACCAGGTCTTAACCAACCGATAGTTGCTAGCCAAAAATAATCTACTTCCGTAATAACATAAACTTTTTAGGGTAAAACCTTCTGAATAATCACTTAAGGTGTCTACCTGACAGATGAAATTTTGCAGTTTTCGCTAAAGGATGAGATGTATAAATACGCTTGAAAAATATGTTATAGCAGATTTCCCTTTTTCTTCTTATTATTATTACTCCAGCAGCATTAAGTTAGGTAATTTCCACATGTGTTGTGGTATAAGTGGGAAAAAAAGGAAAATCAGATAGTAACTCTACATTACAGCTGAAAACTAAACCTGGGGGAAACTCAAAACTGTTGTGAAAACACCAAGACAGGAGTTTATAGAGTCTAACATAGGCTTGTGAGAGCAAAATATGATCGCATAAGTGATGCATTCAACTTGGTGATTGAAACCTTTCGGCGCGGTTGCTATTCTCCTCGACGCAATCAATTGTTCTAACCCACAAAGACAAGCAAAACCTGTGCAGTTGCCTATCCCTTTGCTATCAGTAGGGCATTCCCCATTGTTCTCCCGCCTCAATTTCTCCTATTAGGAAACCTAATGACGACAAATGCCACTTGAGCTTGTCTATTTTGTGCAAATTTTGGAGAGAGCTCTACGTGAGGCAGTAAAACGCACGGTTTAGCAAAGTTTAAGCCCATTTAATAAGGGCTAGAAAAATGCATCGCCTGAAGATAAGTGGAGATGATTTGAGGTGGGCTCTCTATTGTTAGTAAGAGGGCTAATTTATGAATACCTTCAGCTATATGTACAGTGATAATGATAAAACAAACAGTTTACATATATATCAACTGCAAAAGTCCCGGAAGATGGGCTAATGGAGACCTATCAAGTGTCACGCAGCATCTGATGACAATGGGTTTGAAAGACTTTTAATTCTTTCCACGCTTCCATCACGTACATTGTATAAGGAGTCGTTTGGATTGTTGAATAAGTACTACTTTGTATGACCTACTACGTGTGTTGTCACGTACGTGTGTTGTCACTTGGACTGTTGAGATCCCACTTAGAATAACCAAGAGTTAAAGGCTTCAGTACGGTGGTTTTTAACGCTAATAACGTGAGCACATTATGAAAACGGACTGCTTGTTGGCCCGATTTTTACCTTACTTTTGTATTCATTGGGGTGTTTATATATTCCAGCATGTATGGAGTGTTCCTCCATGGTATACCTGTCGACGAGTGGGATCCAACGGGGGTGCAAATCTAGAAATGTTCTAGGACGTTTAAGAATTCGACTTCTTAACCTTAAACTAGGAATGATTTTTTAATTGTAAGCATCCTTAACAGAGTATCTACCTTTTCGATGGAAAATCTACCAAAAGAAAGAAAATCTAAGCTGAAGAAAAGTATTAAACAAGATGAAAGTGGTGGTGGTTTTTAAAATGGAATCTAAATTTCCTTCCCCTCCTTGACTTTGTCTCATCTAAATCTTGATTAAGAAGGCGCATAGAGATTTGCTGAATGCGATTTAGCTTTAAAATCATTTGTTCAAACTAGTTGCTTAATTCCCCAGCAGCTAACCCATTCGATGAATAATTTTATTGACTACGCGAAAATTTCGGCAGTAAAGAACTTTACAGGTGAATACGATGTAAGGGACTTAAAGACAGTAAAATCACGTTTCGGTAACCATGACAACATGATCAAAAACTATACCACTCATCAATCTAAAGAAATAATTCCGTGCTTTGCTCATTTTTAGCATCAGCGGAGTAGTTTCGGTGACGAACTGTACTGAAGTAAGCGGAGGATTTTCCAACGCAGTATCTAAAAGTGGCTGAGAAGATGACCTCGAAAATTTTCTCTGCTGATAAACATGAAGCAGACAGTGAAAGACCATGCACTGAAGATGCGAAGATAAATTTAGTGTACAGGAAACTCAGACGAGGGTGCCTGGTAAGGCCAAGGGTTAAAAGTTGATTTTCAAGATAATACCCCACCAATCGCGCATTAGTTGCGTTAACCTCACTTTATTTCCATTGGCCAGTTGAGCTTCAATGAGGCAGGTGCCGCATCCCTTTGGCTTGAACAACTGACGGTTTTAGAGAATGGTGGAATCCTTAAGAAGCACTACTGTGTGTAAATGGCCTGCCCTTTAGATATCTACTCACTTAAGAGATATAAAAACCCATTTTCCATACTGACTAAGCACAGGTGAAGATAAAATAATCGAAATCACTTTTAAACAAAACCAAATAAACTGTCGTATTTATTTTTTGTAGCGAATTGTGTTTGCCTTGTCTTAAAACTCGCACGGTTTCGCATGATTTATTGGAAATTGGAGGACAAAAGGCGATTGCCTCAACAACTAGTTGGAGAACTCCATTACCACGCCCGTGGCAATTCGCCTCATACTTTTTCGTCTACTGTCTTTGCGAATTCTCATTAAGCTTCTGAGCTCACGAATTTCTTTTAATTTATGCACAAAGTAAAGGCAAGTTCGAGACAAAGAGAGCTTATTCTTTTATTACTCCTTTGACGCCCAGGAATGCTCTACATGCTGTACTGGGTAATCTCTATGCGAAGTAAAAATATTGACTCACACAACGATTTTGACATTCAAAGTTCATTAAAATTTCTTCCTATTATATTAACGCAAGTACTCTGATCTCGCAGGCTGTGGTGTATTTTCATGTCATCAACGTCAACGGAGAATAGTACAGGACAAAAGACTACTTAGATTCGTGGGCTGAATTTCCATCAGAATGTTTGCCAGCCTCGTCCAAGGTTTGCATAAATAAAACAACAACATCAACTCAATTTGGGCCATGCGGTTGAGTCACTTATATGGCCTTGAAGCTTAACTGCGACCACAAAGCTGTCTGAGAAGATAATCTTGTCAGAAACAATTTCGGTGAAAAAGGAAATATGTGGGAATCAAAGTCACAAATACGTGACGTACTCTGGTTAGGTAATGCAAAGCCATTTTGCTAATTTAAGCAGCAAATCAACTAAGTGACATTCAACAATAAAGTAGATAAAGGATGGTCCTGATTTGGCCAACATAATTTTATATAGAGCACGTCTTTATGTAGTTTCCATGAGAAGAGGTTATGATAAGACGTCACGTTTTAAGTTACCTCTTAAAAACCCGTTGAAACAAAATAATGAAAAAATAACAAGTTTCCCATTTAAAACGGATGCCCTCCATGTAGCAAACTCACAGGACTTCCTTAAAGGGAGAGGAGTGACGCCTTCAGATCATATGATATTCCCATGTTTATTTCTCCATCTAGTCAAACAACACATACTGGCCAAAGTAAATTGCTTTGAAGGGTGCTCTCTCATATACTATTACCTGAGGTGGGTGGAAAGTTCCCGACGTAATCATCTATCAACATCATCAATTTAATTGGCATAGTAACTGTCTCCACTGCTGTGTCTGAGATTGCAAAACTGGTAGATGTCATCAAGGCCTGACAGAAAAGCTGTCCTGGGAGAAAATGGCTTTCCGCCAATTTATCTGAAATTTCGCAGTTGCGAGGGCAGACGTGTTTCCTCTTGACCTCACCGAAGGAAAGAGGAAAGAGGGGGAGAGCCATTAAAAGGTTCCAAAGATGGTCGGTCTACATCACCCTCACTATCATCATCTCACTTTATCTTCGACGAATCGACAGGTCAATGTCTATAACTTAACGGAAGGCTAAATCAACCCATATGATTGTAGGGATGATAGGATTCAGCCTTACAAGCTCTCGATGGTATCTTCATCACTCCTCTGGCTGAATTAGGCAACATTCCAATTGCATCTTATGAAGTATGAGTTTTAAAACGCCTACAGAAGTTAAATTTGGGACACTTAAAAAGGGGGCTTCATAATTTTTAAAGAAATAGGATTGATCATTGCTTCTTATTTACAGAAACAGATACCATGACAATTTGAAATCTTGTCATTTTCTTGATCTGTTTCTCCATTTATTCTGTCATTTAATCAGTTAAGAGAAGGATCTAAAATGGGCCACGACATTTAAGAAGAAATTCTTATTCATTTTAAAACCATGGATTATGAACTATGGATTCTGTTGGTAGGCAGAATGCTAACGCTCTACCAACCTGCTCACAGCCAAACATTATGCTACATAATGAATAAATGGGAGTATTTTGTTACGCGCCTCACTTTACTGGGAGTTTTTTTGAATCCAAAACACTGATAAAGATATTTGCTCTTCACTAGCCCATCCGTAAATTCACTCGGTATTTGAATGCCTCTTGAGTAAGCCAAGTTTACTGCCATGCCATCAAGATGCCCTTAACCTAGATTTAAGCGAAGTGTAACGAATACGAGTCATTTCAGGTTTATGAGTTAGTTCGTGTAGCAAAAGTAAAACGGAACAAGGCTAATTCTAATTATAGCAAAGATTTGAACATTTGCTTTGAAAATTATCGTTTCCCTCAGTACTACTGATGATGAAAGAATTCAATACATTAGGTCAGAATGTATAAAGCTGACATACAGAAAGGCTGGGGGGTAAGGAAAGGAAACTCCACCCAGCGGAATTACAAAGACAGAGCCTTAAGTGCCCGCGTAACCAAAACAAAGAATTATACCAACAATTAGTGCATTACATAGCCACTCTGTTTGAGCGTCATCCCTGCCGCTCCTCTTAGTGAACCTTCCTCACCGACCACCGTAAAGTGGTCGGTTGGGTCAGGAGAACACTCCGAACCAAAAGATCCAGCCATGGAATTTGTGTGTAGCTGAGATTCTATCTGACTGAAATGCCACTGATCCGTCTTGGCAGCTCCACTGGATCTGAACCTTCGTCCTAGTCGGCAACTACGTTGAGGCAAATGAGACTTTGCAGACCATTACATACGCCCATTGACAGTAGTAGGAACACTGACCTAAATATACAGTCATGCGATTTTGCAAAGGAAATTAAAATATTCTCGTGGAGATGACCCTTCGCATCTTTTACTCCTTATAACTGTTCAGCCATGTCTCTTTGGATTTTGTTCGGCTAGTGTAAAGGAGATTGAGGTTACACCTGTTCACTTAAAGGACATTTATACAGGGGTACCATAGACAGCTCCATAATGAAAATTTTTAGGTGTTAGGGATCGTTATAGATTCCTTCATCCTCAGCAAATGTCCCTCTCCCGTCACGTCAAGTTCTATTAATCAGGCTTGGAAAGGGAGGTAGTTGACCTTTAGGAACAGGTTCGTTTTCCACTGCCACCAATGTAGAGCACCAAGTCTTTCTTTAAGACGAAGGAAGTCGTAATAGGAGGCCACATTGCACGGCAGAATTACAACTGCGGTGCCTTAAGTACCCATGTAATTAACATCTAGAGTTAAACAAAGAAAGTATTACATTATATACGTAAGCAAATGAAATTGGTTATCAAATTATTTCCAAATCTTGAGGTCTGAAGCTTTTGTGCAACAACTAAAGACGAACGCTTTGACTTATACATAAAAATTTTGCATACATTTGGCTAGCTTTAGAGTTTCAGGTTTGTAAATTATTTAGAAAAAGTGGGGCCATGGAGGTTTAAAATCAGCAAGGTGCAATGTTATTTACCTTCACTATCTCACTTTCTTTCCATTTTAACATGGGAATGAAGGAGTTCTGATCATGCCGAATATAACAGAGTGAATATCTTTTGTTTTAGTTGACTTTTTCGCCAATTTTAAATACGTATCAACTCCAACTTATGATAGTGCTCCGAAAACGTTCGCTTTGAAATAATGATAGGTTTTTTTGTCACATTTGAGACTTCAAATTTTATTCTACCCTTCAGCCTAAATCAAGGTTATAAGGTCTTTTAGCAAAAGTGGCTTCATTTATTTGAGAAGAAGAAGAGTTAGAAGGTAATTCTGAATACCGTGAGTTGTGTACCACGTACAATTAAAATCTGCATCAGAGCGGTAGCGAAGAGGTCACAATACTCACAACATATTTTATATTCATCACCTAGGTTACGCTCGTTGGATTATATATTAACTTTATCTTTTTTTTGAATAAGGTACCACATAACATGATATCTCTTTTCCAATATTCCGGATTTTAACGCGCAAAATTAATGCATGAAATGAAGACTTTGCTCTTCTTAAAAAACAGTCTTATTAATATAATACTTCCAGTTTGCAAGAAGGAACGTCTAAAGTCTTTAAATTGTTCCGACTCATTGAAAACAACTTTTGTCTTCAACCATATTAAATGGTGGAAGCAAAAAAGCGTAAATAGTAGTATTTTTAGGTCCCCGGTTGAAAGCATTCAATTTGCAATTAGTTATATTTTGACCTGTAGTCACTTAAAGACGCACCTTCAACAAAATACAAGGCTCATTTAAAACTACGTGGCCATTTTGGGATTTTTAGGGTTAAAATAATGATTATTTGCACTTTTTTAAAACACTATACCCAATATGTTATAAGATCAGAGAAGAGAAGGTAAGTTACTTATTTTCAGCGGGTTTGAGCGAAGTCAGAAACAATTTTATGCTTGAACTCACTGTTATTGACATTGACACTGGGATTTTGATCGGTACTTCACCTAATGTTTGACTACTACTCAATCTGACCGTGTCAGTGAATATTTGTGCCTCTAAAGTTTGGGAAATATTGGTGGATCCTTAAATTCATGTTGCAGGTGTGGTTGAATTCTCCCAAACTTTTGATATCCCACATCATCAAAATTGAAGAGAATAGGTGGTACTGGCTATTTTGCAAAAAGCATACTCCCTTTAAGTTGAAGTAATTCCACCTGCTTTAGTGTTTCAACCCAATTTAGTCTACTGCAGCTTATTTGCTAACACGAATTCAATATCAGACTGAGACTCTTTCTTTTTCTTATAACTGCAATTGGAACGATTCTTTGCCGCGTACATGGATTTCCATTTGCCAAAATTTTTGGACAGTGGTTGTAATGCATAGCAAAAGCAGCTTTGTTTTGCATAATTATAACCGTTTATCGTTTAGTCTAAGCGCAAAAGCGTTTTGACTTTTACCGTAAGTCAACGGAATCAGCATTTTTTGTCCAATTTGGAGAAAAAAGCAAACCTCTTGATGCTTGTGGGGTGTAAACAGTAACTGCAGGCCCTCATTTCTACTCTCGTAAAGAAAACCTCATATTCTTA